CACCCAAATCACACTGAAAAAAAAAAAAAAAAAAGAGAACAAAACTCTGCCTGGTCCTATGCCATCCTCACAGTCCTCGCTGTTTGAGTCCATTGTGGCAGCCACTGTGTCAGTCCTCGTTAGGGGTCTTCCTCTTTTTTGCTGATGCTTTACTTTACCAAGCATGATGTCCTTCTCCAGGGACTGGTCCCTCTTGACGACATGTCCAAAGTATGTGAGACGAAGACTCCATCCTCGCTTCTAAGGAGCACTCTGGCTGTACTTCTCCCAAGACTGATTGGTTGTTCCTTCCAGCAGTCTGTGGGGTATTCAGTATTCTTTGCCAACATCCTAATTCAAATGCATTGATTCTTCTTTGGTGTTCCTTGTTCACTGTCCAGCTTTCACATGCGTATGATGTGAGTGAAAATACCACAGCTTGGGTCAGATGCACCTTAGTCCTCAACGTGACATCTTTGCTCTTTAATGCTTTAAAGAGGTCTTTTCCAGCAGATCTGCCCAATGCATTGTGGCTTCTGGAAGATTTAAACTACACACGTGGCCTGCATCTGTGTCTTGCATTACCTTTCTGTTGGACGGTGCTGCTCTAGGCCATGTGCTCAGCCACTTGTCAACAGAATCTTCCATCTGAGATGTCACACAGGATCAGGGGTGTAGTCCCTCCCTGCCACATTTGTATCTCCTGGTTTCTGGGCCTCATTTTCCTAAACTGGAACAGTGAATGGTTTGAACCCAATCTAATTTAGCCAACACACGTTTTGTTTGTATGGCCAGATGTTTAACATTTTTGAATAACTTAGCAGCTTTTAGATTTTAGATTTAGACTTCTCTACAAAAACAGTAAGATTTGGCAATCCCAAAGGCACATGACGACAAAGGGCAAGACCTAAGTCAGGGTCCTCCCTCTAATGGGAGGTGTCATCTCAGTTTGCTACAGTTTCCACCACTCCCTAGTGCTTACCCTGAACCAAAAAACCCAATCCTATTGCCGTTGACTCAATTTCAACTCATAGGGACCCTATAGGATGGAATAGAACTGCCCCGTAGGGTTCCCAAAGCTGTGATCTTTATGCAAGTTGACTGCTGTATCTTCGGCCAAGCAACTGGTGGGTTCAAGCTACCTACCCTTTGGTTGGCAGCCGAGTGCTTTAACCACTGTGCAATCAGTGAGCCTCCACAAGCACAGGGATTGGGAATGACAACACATATTTTTGAGGGACGCAATTCAACCCATAACAGAGGAACAGTCATTCTGAAAGCAGAGCTGGAAGGCTACATTGTGATCAGCAGTGGCCCGTGCCAGCCTGCCTTTGCTGGGGGCTGGGGTTACAGATCCGAGGATGAGAAAGGCAGTTTGGCATGAGGAGATGACATCTGCCCTTAGCTTGTGGGACCGTTTTCCCGATCACACTGGCGCAAGGCTGTGAGCTTGCAGGGAGACTGTGGTAGGTGTGGTTGGCATTGACTGTCCTGGAGCTCAGTGGGCCCTGGGCTCAGACAAAGGCATTTGTGCCAGAACAGAGGAGAGTAGAAAGGGGAGCTGTGTGCATTATGAGTGAAAGAAAGCCAACCAGCCTGCAGCAAACAGCATTGTCAGCTGTGGTCAGAGGCTCCGAAACAATTCCTCACTGGCCGCCTCCTGTAGCAACAAGGTAGGGTGAGGGGCAAGCAGATGGGCAAACAGTACCCAAATGCCCCAGGGTTCGGCTTCCTTTTCCAATTGTCCCTGCTCAGTATGCAGCTGCTCAGGGAAGCCAGGGTCCCAATGAGGAAAGCTTTAGCCTGGGGCTGCTCTTGGGAGCCCCGGGGCAGGGTGTCAACCCCTAAACCAGTTGCTGTGGAGTCCTTTCTGACTCACGGTGACCTCGAGCACGTCAGAGCACAGCTGTGCTCTATTGGGTTTTGATGGTTGAATTTTCAGTAGATTCTTCTGAGTTGTCTCTGGGTCGACTTGAACCTCCAACCTCGGTTAGCAACTGAGCATGTTGACTGTTCGCCCCACCCAGTGACTCCCCAGAGGGTCAGCTGGTGTTAAAAGTCAGAGGAGAGGCAGGTCAAGGTAGGGGACCCTGCAGGCAGGCACTCTCTTGGTTAGAGACAGAGGAGGTCTGCATCCTCTGGGTCTCTGTTCTCCAAGTTAGTAATTGTAGTTAAGGTTGTGTGTCAACTTGGCCGGGCCTGGTTTTGAATGGCTGGGCAGCTAGATATAGTTCTTCTCCATGATGAGATTGGTTATCAGTTCCATAGTGGAATCTTAGGGATGTGGTCTGCTTCCAGTAAATAGGAAACTTTGAGAAAGGTTTCTGAGCTTTCTGACATGCTTGGATCCTGCATGTCGCTGGGTCTTTATTCAGCAGCCTGCCATGTTGTCTGCCGATCTTGGGACTGTTTCTGGACTTGAACTCGTGGCCTGCTGTGTTGCTCAATAATCTTGGGACTGGACCATTTTACTTGTCGACCTTAGGTTTGTCAGCCTCAGCAGCCAGCAGCTGTCTGAGTTAAGAGAAGCCTCCAGCTTCAGTAGGCTGGGAGCAAGAGGCAGAGCTGAAGTGCAAGGTTGAGGAGCTTTCACCCAGCCCCTAGAGCTGGCACTTTGAACTCAGACTTCTGACCTCCTAAACTGTAAGAGAATAAAATCCCTGTTTGTAAATGTCACCATTTTTGGTATTTTCTGTTAGAGCAGAACTCGCCAAAAAACAAAACAAAACAAAAACCAAACTCACTGCTGTCAAGTTGTTTCTGACTCATAGTGACCCCTCCTTGGGTTTCTGAGGTGGCATCTCTATGGAAGTAGGTTGTCCAACCTTCCTTCTGAGGACTGGCTGGTGGGTTTGAGCCTCCAACCTCCTGGTTAGCAGTCAAATGCCTTAGACACTACACAGGACCAAAACACTAATGATGAATTACCCACAAGTTTTAAGGAATGCCTCTCCCAATTCAGCAGGCAGTTGTACACCTGCTACATGCAAGGCACAGTGTTCAATACCCTGGAAGGTACTGAGGCCAATTTGTCTTAAACCTCTGGGTATGGGGAGAGTTTGGAGGCTCACATGCAGAGGGTGACCCCATCAGAGCCATATTCCCCACAATTCTCTCCTCTGTTTACCAGAGCCAACATTTACCTCCCACATTGTTCCCTTCTCTGCCCTCTTTCTTAGGAGGCAGAATGATGTAGAGGCAAGAGTAAGGCACTGGAACCAGACTTGAACAGCTCTGTCCCTTACATACTCTTCAAACTCCTTTTACTCAATATGTGACCATAGGCTAATTCTTGAACCTATCTAAGGCTCTAAGGAGCTCTGGTGGTGCAGTTCCTAAGGCAATTGACTCACCACAGAGTTGGCAGTTCAAATCCACCAGCCACTCTGTGAAAGTAACACTGGGCAATGTGCTTCCAGAAAGATTTACTGCCTTGGAAACTCAATGGGGGTTGCTATGAGTCAGAATCGACTAGAAGGCAGTGGGTTTGTTTTTGTATCTAGAATTTCAATACCGTTGTCGAAGGCCAGCTTTTTCTAGGTTTCCTCTCTGCCATCACCAGTGGGTTGCATTTTCTGCCCATGCTGGTTACCTCATTGTCTCAAGGTGGCCACCACAACTCCATCCTTCATGCTCACATTCATGGCAGAAAAGTGGTAGGAAGGAGATAATAAGTAGGCTATTCTCATTGTTACCCCTGTCATCAAGAAGGCAAATGCTTTTCAGTAGTGTCCAGTAGACATTACCTTACCATTGGTCAGACTGGCCATGGTGGTTGCACAGGAGCCTGGATGGTGAGTCTCTGGCTTGTTTGAGTGTGTTTAGGCATAGGGAGAAAGGTCGAGGGGATGGATGATGATTGTTGGGTTGGCCAACCAACAGTAAGGTCATACCCACTCTCCAGATTTCCAATGTAGCCTTTTCAACCTTCCTCATTGTTCTTGCCTCTCCTCTTCCCTCTGGAAGATATTGAAAAGGGCTGGGATAGAGTGAGGCTGGTATTGCCGGCTCTCAGTAAATTTCAATTCCTGTAGCCCTGCTTCCAAGACCGAGTTTCTTTTATGTCCTGTAGATAATGATTGGCTACTGGCAAGTTCAAAATTAAGGCAGAGTGCCAAGACTCTGTGGTTATGGAAGGTCCCATGGAACTGGCCTTCCCAGCCAGACAGGGAGACCCACCCAGAACCTCAGCTGCCAGGTTAACCAGAACTATGGTTAAGAAGGAGGGGCGTGTGGGTATGTGTGTGTGTGTGCATGCATGTGTGTGTGTGTGTACCTGTGCCTGTGCTCAATGTCACTATTTCATCCCATTGAGTCTTAGAACTTTCCCAGGGCCTCCCTGTGAACGGCTCCAAAACTGAGCCTTTGTTTTATTTTTTTGGTTGTGTTTTCTTTATGGTTTTTTTTTTTTTTTTTTTGCCAATTCAACAATTTTTGCATGTATTGTTCAGTGACACGTGTTACATTCTTCATGTTGTGCAATCATCATCTTTACCCTTTTCTAAATCATTCCATCACCAATAACATGAACTCAGTGCCCCTTATGCAAAAACTCCCTCTTTCTCCCTCCCTCCTACCCCTGGTAACCACTAATAAGCTTTGGTCTCTATCTATTTGCCTATTTCATGTAAGTGAGTCCACACAGTAGTTATCCTTTTGCAACTGACTTATTTTGCTCGGCATGATGCTTTTGAGGTTCATCCATGTGGTGGCCTGCATCAGGACTTCATTTCTCTTCAGGGCTGAGTAATATTCCATTGTATGTACCACATTTTGTTTATCCATTTATTTGCTGATGACATTTTGGTTGTTTCCACCTTTTAGCTATTGTGAGAAGTATTGTAACAAACGTTGGTATACAAGTCCTTGTGTTTTTCAGGTTTGGGGTGATCCACTCAGTGTTCACCAACTTGCTTCTCTGGGCCAACAGCATCCTGAATGAGTCAAAGCACCAATTGAATGAGCATAAGGAACGGCTCATCACCCTGGGCTTTGGGAACATAACAATAGGTAAGTGATGAGACTTGGCCCTCCGTGTTGGGACATCCCAGAAACCTGCAGAGACAAGAATGTTCAGAGATGGAGGGGCAGGTGCCAAAAAATTGCAGGGTCCAGCTAACTGCATCAGCCAGACAATCCTCTGTTGTTGAAAGTCTTACCTAAGTCTCTCTTTGTACCTCCATGTAGGGTGTGCTGAGCATAATGAAGGGTTTCTTCAGTACTCAGGGACTTGTAAGGCCCAAGGGTTATCATTTCATACACCATTTGTCATGGTCCAGATTCATATCAAAGTAAATATCTTTGTTTTCAGCTATGGAAGATTGGCGGTTGTTTTTGCTTTTAATTAAGGTTCTATTATCAGTTCTTTCTACTGAAAGTAGAGTTAAAAAGAAAAAGTCCATAGAGGTCTAATGGTAGGTTGTGACTAATTGGTTTTAGTCCATTTGAAGTTTTTTAAAGAACTGTATTTGGCCTATAATTTTGGCCTATCTTTATTCCCCTTCATTCTTCTATGAGAGCCTGTAGCAGTAATTGCAAAATTCTTTAACATTTATGATCTATTATCTCTATGTTAGAACATTTGGGCTTGGGGAATGTAGGGTATGGAAAGTGCAGTGTACCAGGAACTAGATGACTCAAGGGTCTTGTTCCTGTCAGTCACTGGCTATGGGATCTTTGGAAGCCATTTAATCCTTCCAAGCTTCGCTTGCCTCGTTTGTAAAATGAGAGGGACTTGACTATGGGCTGTGTACTTTTGAAGGCTCTTTCCAGATTTAACACAGATAGATAGATGGCTGTCGTCGAGTTGACTCTGACTCATGGTGACCTTACGTACCATAGAACGAAATGTTGCCCAGTCCTGTGTCATCTTCACAGTCACTGGCATAATTGATGTTCTGTGTGATCCATAAGGAGCTCTGGTGGTATAGTGGTTAAGGCATTTATTTGGCTCCTAACAAAAAACGTCAATGGTTCCAAACCCATGCTCCATGGAAGAAAGATGAGACAGTCTGTTTTTGTAAAGATTCACAGCCTTGGAAACCCAATGGGGGGGTCTCTGTGAGTTAGAATCAACTTAATGGCAGTGAGTTTAGTTTGTTTTTTGGTTGTGACCCATAAGGTTTTCATTGGCTAGTTTTCAGAAGGGAGCCTATAAACCCATAAAAACTCAAATCAAAATCACTGCCATCAAGTCAATTCTGACTCATAGCAAACCCCATTGGTGGAGCAGCTGGTTTGTTCAAACCACAGATCTTTTGGTTAGTAGCCAAACGCCTTAACCACCACACCACCAGAAATCCTCGGAAACCCTATGGGGCAGTTCTGTTCTCATATAAGGTTGCTATAAGTTGGAGTCATCTTGATGGTTTGCTTTGGTTTTTCAGAATTTCAGAAGGAGATCACCAGACTTTTCTTCTTAGTTTGTCTTAGTCTGGAAACTCTGCTGAGATTTGTTCACCATGGATTATCCTGCTTGTATTTGAAATTCTGGTGACATAGCAGCTTCCAGCACCATAGCAATATGGAAGCCACCACAGGATGAGAGGCTGACAGACGGGTGGTGTAGATTTAACATGCTACAATTCTATCCCACCTGTGCAACCTCAGGCCAGTCTATCATCTGTCTATCCATCTGCTTATCGATCATCTATATATCCATAATTTACACATACAGAATCACGCTCTATATCCTCTTTGGCAACTTGCTTTTGTTGTTCAACAATATCTTGTGCTCAACTTTACAAATTAATGAGTAAATTTCTGTCATACCATTTATAATGGACACATTCTATTCCAATCTATGGATGAGCTATGATTCATGAATTTAATACCCTTTTGGGAAGCTGTAGGACCATCAATTTAGCCATGATCTGAAGTATTAAATAAGACTTAAAATGAAGCTTTACACTCAATGGGAAAATCCAAGCTTGAATCCACAGGAAAGCATTTCTTTGTGCTTCTCTACTTCTCTGCTGAGCATGCTAATGGCCCTCCATGTGTTCTGCCTCTTTCTCTAGTTCTAGATGACCACACCCCTCAGTGTAATTGCACATCTCCAACTCTCTGCTCAGCCATCTCACGTGGGATTTACTACCTGTACCCCTTCAACATAGAGTATCAGATCCTGGCCTCTACGATGCTCTATGTCCTATGGAAGAACATTGGACGCAAAGTCGACAGCCACCAGCATTCGAAGATGCAGTTCAGGTTTAATGGGGTCATGGTGGGCTCGGTCCTGGGTCTGACTGTGCTGGCCACCACCATTGGGGTTGTGGTGGTATACCTGATTCGGATTGGACGGTCCAAAACCAAGAGTGAGTCAGCACTCATCATGTTTTACCTGTATGCCATTGCCCTGCTCATGCTCATGGGGGCTGCGGGGCTGGTTGGCATCCGGATCTACAGAATCAATGAGCAATCACTAGATGAGTCCAAAAACCCAGCCCGCAAGCTGGATGCAGACCTCTTGGTGGGCACAGCCTCTGGCTCCTGGCTCATTTCCTGGGGCTCAATATTGGCCATCCTCTGTGCAGAGGCCTGCCCCCCCTATACCTGGTACAACTTACCCTACTCCATCCTGGTGATTGTGGAGAAGTACATCCAGAACCTCTTCATCATTGAGTCAATTCACCGGGAGCCCGAGAAGCTATCTGAGGACATCAGGACTCTTCGGGTGGTCACTGTCTGCAATGGCAACACCACCTTCCTTGCTTCTTCCTTCCTCAAGAGTGGAGGTATGGCTGGGGATGTGGCTCCCCAAGATGGAGAGATGCCACATGCTGTCAATGGAAATATGTGTCTGAGAGAAGGCTGTGGCAAGAAAGAGGAGGAGAGGAGCTTGGAAACAGTCCCAGGCCCAGCCTGCTACCCCCGTTTCTTGCAGGGATATACCAAGAGAAGAGTCCTAAGGAACATTGCAGCATTTTTGTTCCTCTGCAATATTTCGGTAATTTGCATCAAGTTATTGTTTTAGAAATCAACTAATCTACTTTCTTTGCCTTTTTCAAATAAGGAGTTAAGGCAGTTGTAACAAAATAATGTAAGTGTAAGGTTACAAAGTGAGGCTAGAACATAAACATATATTCAACGAGTCCACTTACTGATTGATACCTGCTGTATGCCAGGGGCTGGGCTGAACTAAAGATTAAAGGTGAGAAGACTCAATCTCTTTCCCCAAAAAGGTCACAGCATAGTGAGAGTATGGCCATGTCCCTGGGTGGTGCAAATGGTTAAGCACTCAACTACTAGCCGAAAAGTTGGCAGTTCGAACCCACCCAGATATGCCTTGGAAGACAGGCCTGGTCACCTGCTTCCCAAAAATCACAGACTCAAAAACCCTGGAGCACAGTTCTCTCTGCACCATGGGGTTTCCATGAGTTGTAATCCACTCTACAACAACTAACAATAGTAACAACATAGTTGGGGAGAGAGACAAGGGAAAAATATAGTACATGAGTATGCTAAGTGCTTGGGCAGGAGTATGTGCAATGTGTATTAGGAGCACGGATTCAAGGAGGGATTTCAATGAGAAGGGGATGCTTGAGGTAAGCTGAAGTATCAAGCTTTTGGTTGCAAGTAATAGAAAACTTGACCAAACAAACAAAAAATCCCAAAGCCATTCCAACTCGTGGTGACCCTACATGTGTCAGAGTAGAACTGCTCTGTAGGGTTTCCAATGACTATGATCTTACAGAAGTTGACCAATAGCCCTTTCTTTTGTGATGCTGCTGGATAGATTTGAACTGCCAACCTTTGGTTAATAGGTTGGCAAACCATAGGTTTGTACCACCTGTAAGGTCTTAAGCCTTAAAAACATGTAATTATCTCACCAGAATTCTGGAGATTGGTTGCTCTAGTTTGGCCAGGTAGAAGAACCACATCAAGAATTCCACTCTGCCATCATTGGTACGGTGGCTTGTTGCCACATGGTTGTAAGATGGCACCAGGCATCACTTCTGGGTTTATGGCAAGAAGAAGAGGAGGAATGGTGTCAGGAAATGTCTCTACCTTTGATTAGGAAAGCAAAACATATCACAGAAGATCCAGCAGAATTCTTCTTAAGGGCTTTTGGCCAGAAGCATGTCACCTGGCCAACCCTAGCTGCAAGGGAGTCTGTGGAAATGGATAGTTTGCTTCCCAACCTTGATGGTGAAAGGTTGTTGTTGTTGTTGAGTGCCGTGGAGTCAGCCCTGACTCATAGTGACCCCTCCTTGGGTTTCCGAGGCAGTATCACTACGGAAGTAGGATTGCCCAACCTTCCTTCCGAGGAGTGGCTGGTGGGTTTGAACCACTAGCCTTCTGGTTAGCAGTCAAGGACAGTGAAAGGTAGCAAGGGATAAAAATGCTGTAGGATCAGTCACCCAATATTGTCTGCTTCAGCCTTAAGGGGCGGTTAGAATTTCACTAGGTGGTCCAGGCAGGAAACAGCATTTTGAGCAGAGGGCACATGATGTACAAAGGCACAGAGACAAGAGACACCTTGGCATATGTTTGGAGAGTGATTGGCTTAGTGTGAATTACATGAACGGTAAGAGCAGCAGAGTGGGAAATAGGAGGGAGAGTCCAGTTAGATGGGACTTGGACTAGGCAGGGCTTCATAGCCATGCAGGAATTCAGGCTTCATGCTGAGGACAGTAGAAGACCCTCTCATACTTGTGTTTTGGGACAATCATTCTAGCAGCAGTGTGCAGGAAGGTTGGGGAGAGGTCGGGCCAGAGGCAGAGAGAGCAGAATAGAAGCTCCTGCAGTCCCCCAAGTGAGAAATGATGGGAACTGGCACCAGGGCAGCGATGGTGGTTGTATTCGTTTCCTTTTGTTGTTGTTAGTTGCCGTTGAGTTGGCCCTGGCTCATAGCTACAACAGAACGAAACGTTGCCTAGTCTTTCCCCATCCTCCCAATTGTTGCTGTGTTTGTGCCCATTGTTGCAGCCACTATGTCAGTCCATCTCATAGAAGATCTCCCTCTTTTTCACTGACCCTCTACTTTGCCAAGCGTGATGTCTGTCTCCATCAGTTGGTCCTTCTTGATGAGGTGTCCAAAGTAAGTGAGACAAAGTCTCACCATCTTGCTTCTAAGGAGCATTCTGGTCTATACTTCCTCCAAGACTGATAGCAGTTTGCTTGGGCTGCCATGAGAAAAGACCGCAAACTGGGTAGCTTAAAACAACAGAAATTTCTTCTCTCACAGCTCTGGAGGCTAGACATCTGAAATCAAGGTTTGGTATTTCAGTTTGTGGGTCAACTTGGCTGGGCCTGGTTGAGTGGCTGGGCAGCTGAATGTAGTTATTCTTCATGGTGAGATTGGTAATTAAGTCCATGGTGGAATCTATTGGAGCAGCTGAGTAGCTGTTTTAGGGATGTGGCCTGCTTCCTATATATAAGAAGCAACTTTGAGGAAGGTCTTCAGATGATGGCCCACTTGAATCCTGCATGTAGCCGTGTCGTTGTTCAGCAGCCTGCCATGTTGCCCTGTTGATCTTGGAACACTTAATGGACTTGAATTAATGGCCTGCTGTGTCATTTGGTAATATCAGGACTGTGCCATTTTACTTGTTGACCTTGGGTTTGTCAGCCTCAGCAGCCAGCAGCTGCCTGAGTAATGAGATGCCAGTGGGCCGGGAGCAGGAGGCAGAGCTGAAGCCCAAGGTTGAGGGGCTTTCATCCAGCCTCTAGAGTCTGGCACCTGGAACTTGGACTTCAAACCTCCAAAATTGTAAGAGAATAAACTTCTGTTCTTGTATTTTCTTCCAAAATTCTTCTAAGGCTTTTTCTGTGTTTTCTTTGGTCTGTCTCTCAA